AAAAAAAAAAAAAAAAATTACTAAGGTGGAAGGATACCACCTTAGTGACATTGAAACTGTACTAGAGGAAGGCAGTACTTATGTTCCCACTGCTCATCTTTCTAGAGGGTGGACCACTCCTACACTTCCTTAAAAAGAGAAGGCATGCCAGGGCTCCTCCCCCTCCTGCTCCAGGGAGATGATGACTTTCTAATTGGCAGCATAGCTTGGCTTGCTGCTTTCTGGATTTGTCTTTCAGGGTCCATTTAACCCCCAAATGTTCCCATATTTCTGACTCCAGAAGCCCTGCCCGTGGGTAGAGGCAAACTCGGTTTGGGGCGGGCAACAGTAAGTCCTGCTGACTTCATCTCGAAAGCCACATTATCCTGCTAGTTATAAGGTTAATAACTTGATATTTGCTTTTCTGTCTCCCATCTCTCTTGCTTTTTTTCTCCTAATTTGTTGCAAATTTTGGAATGCAGGAAATGAGCTGTTATTTATTTAATTTCTAAATCCCAAAGTTATGTGCCTTCATACATTTGTGAGATGGAGTTTGGAAGGAACCTTTAAAAGTCACTTGGAACCTCATCTAACTTTCAAACTCTTCACAATAATCTCCCTTAAGAGTTTTCCTGGCTTGCTGGGTGGTGGTGGCGCCCACCTTTAATCTTTAATCCCAGCACTGGGGAGGCAGAGACAGGCAGATCTCTGTGAATTTGAGGCCACCCTGGTCTACAAAGTGAGTTCCAGGACAGCCAAGGCTACACAAACTCTGTCTCAAAAAAACAAAACAAAACAAACAAACAAACAAACAAACCAAAAAAGAAAAGAAAAATAAAAAAATAGTTTTCTGGCTCTTACTTTTTATTGACATGAAAATTCAATCCCTTTGCATGAATTATCTCACTTTATTCTTAATAGCAGTCCTACCAGTAAAGTTTTATTTTATTTTTTTGAGATAGGATCTCACTATGTACCCCTAGCTGACTGGGACCTTGATGGATCCCAGGTTGGCCTTGAACTCACAGAGATCTGTATGCTTCTACCTCCTAAATTTGGAGATTAAAGGTGTGTGCTTATTAATTAGAAACTTGCAGCTTGGAGAGGTTAAATAATATGCCTGAAGATGTGGAATGATTTGGTAGCTCCACTGAGGAGTGAGCCAGACAGATCCCATCTCATTCCTGGATGGAAAGGAAAGACATTAACAAACAACCAAATAAATAATTGATGGGGGCTGTGAAGAGTGCTCTGATCAGCGCAAAGAAGATGCACAACCTCCAGGGTTTTTGTTTGTTTGTCTGTTTTGTTTTGTTCTTCGAGACAGGGTTTCTCTGTGTAGCTTTGTGCCTGTCCTAGAACTCACTCTGTAGCCTAGGCTGGCCTCAAACTCAGAGATCCGCCTGCCTCTGCCTCCCAAGTGCTGGAATTAAAGGTGTGCGCCACCACTGCCAGGCCAGTCTGAGTTTTAAGGGTCAAGGCAAGCATTCTTCCACAGTGAAGTGATGTAGCACCCTGGAGTCCCACAGAATGTGGGAGCTGGCAAGTGGGAGGGATGGGTGGCAGGAGTGAGAGGAAGGATTAGAAGCAGCCACATTCCAGGAAGAGGGTGGGAGGGCTGGGAGTGAAGGTGGCCAGCAGGCAGTCTGCAGGAAGGTGGGGAGGGAACCGAGTTAGCTGAGGATGGAGAGCCAGGCTGGGCTGTGCTAAAGGCATGGGGATTTTAGATCTTGTCTTAGGAGCATTGTCATCACTGAGGGGTTTAATAAAGAAGTGACAATTGTGCCCATGTGGCTCTATCATCCACCTGCCCTCCGAGATTCGCTTTCTGAATACATTACAGAAAATTTCTTTTAAGGGGCGAAGAGCTGCACACCTTTAATCCCAGGATTCAGGAGGCAGAGGCAGGCAGATCTCTGTGAGTTCGAGGCCAGCCTGGTCTAGGTAGTGAGTACCAGGACAGCCAGAGAGAGCTACCTAGTGAGACCGTGTCTCGAAAAACAAACAAACAAACAAACAAACAAACAAACAAACAAACAAACAAACAAACAGCTAATCTTTCCTCAACACCTTGTAGCTTTTAATGAACTACTATCTCCCTTTCCTAAGGAATGTGGTATGTGGAGACTATTCACTATTTCTCAGTCTTGACTGCGTCTTAGAATCACCTGGGAAATTGAGACAAGGATTCCGTGCCACACTCAAGGCCAATTAAATGAGGATTTTCAGGAGAGGGAGCCAAGCATTCTTATCTTTTAGACACAGTGGCCTCTGCAATTCACTTTAACAGGCTTTGATTGAGCTCCACTGATCCTACGTCTAGGCACCGCGTTAGGGTCTGCACATAAAAGGTACGTGTGGACAGCTGTCAGCAGCTGTTAACTAGTTAGATGTTGTGACTGCTGCAGCTGCTAGGCAGGACGAGCAAGGCTCAGGCAGCCCCAGGAATCATCAGGCAGTGAGAGGAATCGAAGGCAATGAAAATACTAAACCACATGTTTGCATGTCTGCTGGATCTCACCTGGTCTATTCACTACACCACTGCCTAGATGGCAAGCCCAGAAATTGGACAACTCAAGTCAAGACTTGTGGACCCTGGAGAGCTGTGATTCACAGCACCAGAAGCGGTCTGCTGCTTGCTCTCTCTGAGAGTCAGTCAGACAAAAAGATCCCACATCCGTGTAGTCAAGCGATGTGTGTGTGTGTGTGTGTGTGTGTGTGTGTGTGTGTGTGTGTGTTGTTGTTGTTGTTGTTGCTGCTGCTGCACATATGGTATGGAACATATATGGAGGTCTCAGGTATTGGTCCTTACCTTCTACATTATTTAGACATGGTCTCATGTTTGATGCAGAATCTGCCAGACTAGCCAGCCCTCTATCTCCTGTCTCTATCTTCCCATCTCAGCATAAAGGTGCTGGGGTTATGGACATATGCTACCACTTCCCACTTTACATGGGATCTGGGGTTCAAACTCAGGTTCTTACACTTGTGCAATGAGCCCCTTATACACGAGTCATCTTTCCAGACCCCTCTTTAATGTTTCTACTTGACTGTACAAGATAACACAAGAGAAAACAAGCTGCTAGCATAGAAAATCTTATGGAGTAGGGAGAGGAGAAATCTTTAAGGCTATCCAGGGTGATGTGCAAAACTTGTTAGAAATGTACCTGGGAGGCCCATGATGGGGCAGTCTTCTGCAATGCAGTCTAGGCAGGTAGAATTGGCATACATAAATGCTTTTTAACTAATTGATTAATGAATTAATTTAATGTGTATGGGTGTTTTGTCTTCATGTATTTTTTGTGCGCCAGCAGAAGAGGGTGTTGGTTCTCCTGGGATTGGAGTTATGGGTAGTTGTGAGCCACCATGTGGGTGCTGGGAATTGAACCCAGGTTCTCTGGAAGAGCAGCCAGTGCTCTGAACTACTGAGCCATTGCTCCAGATCCCCTTCAAATGATTCTTGAACCCAGGTTTGATATCAGCTGGTGTCCTGTGCATGTGGGTTACAAAGAATATTCCCATTTCTTGAACTCATTTTGCCCACAATTTATTGAATCAGTATAAATGTGCCTTCTCGATATTTTAAAAGGCTGATTCCCTGGGCATATAACTCAGTATCAGAACTATTGCTTAGAATCCTCAAGGCTCAATGTTTCACTTCAGTACCAGGCAGAGGGAAAGACTGGTAGATACAAGTAAATATTCAAGTTGTATGTGGGTAGGGGAAATCTATGATGGTCCAGGGAAAAGTCTGTCTTTTCAACCATGAAACCATAAACTTTCTTGGCTTCCTATTTAGGCTATTAATTTCAAAACATTGTCGTGAACAACAATGCTTGTTCTCGATTGTTCTGCGTATTCTCTGTTATTTTGCTAGACACCAAAGTACATTCAACCAGTGCTACTGATTATGATTAAGTTGATTATCAGAGCTAGAAAGGATGTCTTGTTCTTGGGCCAACCTCTTGTAAGAAGACATTTTACTATTTTGCAAGATTTAAAAGGCTATAGAATGAAGCTTCATCTTGAATGCTTTTGGGGGTGATCTAAGTTTGTGGCAACCCCTGGGTGCTTGAAATTCTAAGATTTCAACCAGAATGTGAGAAATAGTCATCCATGATCAATAAATACCCACATATCCATCTAAGTGCTTAAGTACTTCTACTTGGTGGTACAAGGAACTAGGGAGAGAATAAAGCTGTTAATGCAGAGAATCTTAAGTGGTAGAGAGAAGAGAAATCTGGAAGACCATCTGGTGTGATGTTCAGAAGTTGTTAGAAATGCACCTGCCGAATCAAAGACCCAGATGTGAATCCATACATCTATGGATACCTGATTTTTGACAAACAAACCAAAATTATACAGTGGAAAAAAGGAAGTCTCGTCTCTTCAACAAATGGTGCTGGTCTAACTGGATGATGGCATGTAGAAGAATGCAAACAGATGCATATCTATCACCCTGCACAAAACTCAATCCTAGTGGATCAAAGGCCTCAACATAAATCCAGACACGCTGAACCTGATAGAAAAGACAGCGGGGAATAGCCTTGAACATACTGGCACAGGAGACGACTTCCTGAACAGGACACCAATAGCACAGGCACTAAGATGAATAATTAATAAATGGGACTTCATGAAACTGAAAACTTTTGTAAGGCAAAGGACACCATCAATGGGACAAGATGGTAACCCTCAGAATGGGAAAAGATCTTCACAAACTGTGGTGATATACAGTGTACCCTAACAAAATTTACCTGAAGATCAGAGAACAGAACGAGCCACTAGATTAAACATAGAGGCCAGACAGTGGTGGCACACACCTTTAATCCTAGCACTCATGAGGCAGAGATCTGCCTGGATCTCTGAGAGTTCAAAGGTACCATAGACTATATGGGATTGACTCAGTCTAGGAGAGAAACAGAGCCAGACAGTGGTGGCACACACCTTTAATCCCAATACTTGGGAGTCACAGGCCTTTAATCCCAGCACTAGGAAAGTTGAGACAGGAAATGATATGGGTGGGCAGAGAAAGGTACATAAAGCATGAGGAGACAGGAACTAAAGCCTTTTCAGCTGAGGAAGCTCATTTGGCTAGAGGCATATTGGCTGAGGCTTTTAAGGCTGGGGAGTCCTAGAGGTAAGAGGTGGCTTGTTCCTTTGTCTCTCTAATCTTTCAGCATTTACACCAATATCTGGTTCCAGGTTTTTATTATAAGACCTTTAGAAATTAGAACAATAACCAACACCACATTTGACAGAGGGCTAATATTCAAAATATATAAAGAACTCAAGAAACCAGACATCAACAAGCCAAATAATCCAATTAAAAAATGGGATACAGATCTAAATAGAAAATTCTCAATAGGGGAATCTCAAATGGCCAAGAAACACTTAAGAAATTTTCACCATCCTTAGCTGTCAGGGAAATACAAATCAAAATGACTCTGAGACTACATCTTACACCTGTCAGAATGGCTAAGATCAAAAACACAAGTGACAGCTCATGCAGGTGAGGATGTGGAGCAAGGAGACACTCCTCCATTGCTGGTGGGAATGCAAACCTGTACAGTCATTTAGGAAATCAATATGGTGGTTTCTCAGAAAATTGGGAATCGATCTACCTCAAGATCCAGCTATACCACTGCTGGGCATATATCCAAAGGATACTCCATTCTACCACAAGAACACTTACTCAACTATGTGTATAGCAGCTTTATTCATAATAGCCAGAAACTAGAAACAACCTAGACATCCTCAACCGAAGAATGGGGAAAACTGCTGAAGAGAGATATGAAGGTTTGTAGGAGCCGGAGGGGTCAAGGACACCACAAGAAAACCCACAGAATCAACTAACCTGGGCTCACAGAGACTGAACCAACAACCAAGGGGAACCTGCTTGGGACTGACGTAGGCACCCTGTATGTGTTACAGTTGTGTAGCTTAGTCTTCTTGTGGGACTCCTAACAGTGGGAGCACAGAGGTGTCTCTGACTCTTTTGCTGGCTTTTGGGATCTTTGTAATATAATAATATGGTATAGGTACCTTTTACAGCTTATTTTATTTATGCATATGAGTGTTTTGCCTGCATGTATGTCTGTGCATTATGTGTTTGCTGGTGCCCTGGGAGACCTGAAGAGGGCATTGGATCCCTTGGAATTAGAGTTATAGGTTTGTGAGCTGTGCTCTTGGGTGCTGGAATCAAACCTGGGTCCTTTGGAAGAGCAGCAAGTACTCTTAACCACTGAGCTATCTCTCCAGCCCCCAAGCATAGGGATCTTTTCCTCTATCTCCTTTTAAAGCTTTAAGATACTTTTCCTTCCACCTTAATTTTAAGAATGATAAAAACTCCTTAACTAAGGAGAATAAATAAATATCAAATACTGTGGTGATATTATGTTCCCCAAAATATTGTGCACCCTAATAAACTTATCTGGGGTCAGAGAACAGAACAGCCACAATATTAAACATAGAGGTTAGGCAGTGGTAGCACACGCCTTTAATGTTAGCATTCCAGAGGCAGAGATCCATCTGGATCTCTGTGAATTTGAAGTCATACTGGAAACAGCCAGGCATGGTTACTCATGCCTTTAATCCCAGGAAGTGATGTCAGAAAGCAGAAAGGTATATAAGGTGTGAGGACCAGGAACTAGAGCGGTTAAGCTTTTAGGCGTTTGAGCAGCGGTTCAGCTGAGATTCATTTGGATGAGGACTCAGAGGCTTCCATCCTGGGGGAACAGGATCAGCTGAGGAACTGGCAAGGTGAGGTAGTTGTGTCTTGTTCTGCTTCTCTGATCTTCCAGCATTCACCCCAATAACTGGCACTGGGTTTGTTTTTATTAATAAGACCTCCTGCTGCAAAATACCAAGTTGTGTCATGGTTTGAATGTCACACACACATTCTTCCATCTACTACAAAAGGCTCAGGGGATCAGCAGCACATCTCTGTACTGTCCAATGCTAACCACGAGGAGGAAGAGGAGGAGGGACGAAGTTAGGAGGGAGCTCTGCTGGACTCCTTGGAGCACACAGTCGTGCATCTGTCCCTTTAAGGTTTCCGCGCCATTAGTGCTGTACTTCCTTCTGTCTCACACAGCTCTCTCTTTTTATTCTTAGAGAGACAACGTCATACCATTGACGCTAAGTGAATGATTCATGGCACCATGAAAAGTATTAACTACCAGGTACTAAAGGGCAAGCTGTTGAGGGGAGAAAACCCATAACACAAAACTCTCTGTGATTCCTTCTTGAAAACATCATCCTGTCTGGATCTCAGAGAACTAAGATCCTCATGTCCTCAGAGCACCACATGCCACCTTCTGCTGTGAATCACAGTCAGTTCATTTAGATGGCTGCACTTCCTGTGGCCCCTACTGTGGCAGTTCCATATGCCATAGGTACTCAAGAGTGCCAGAGACCACACTTCTAAGATTAACCCAGCAGGGAGGGGTCGCTCTTGTGGAGATGGTGCACCATGTATTATGTAAGGGCTGAAAGTACCCTCTTGTTGAAGTGCCCTTCTCAGGGCACACAGCAGTCGGATGAGCTTCAGGAGGAAAAATGTCTCTTTTGCTTCACACATCGTGCAATGGGAGCCCCCTAATGACTTTGGGAGTTTGTAAGAACACCTCCCAACCTCTCTAGGGAAGCTGGAACTGCAAAAGGCGGAGAGCGCTGCAGACAGGTGCTCTCGTTACCTGCAGTCTCTGACACAGTCCTGTTCCACTCTGACGGCACTCAGAGGTAATATACCCCGGCTCTAAGTGTCAGCCCAACATTCCCTAGTTCCATGCTTCTCTAAGTAGTGCTCTGACTCCATGACTGTGGCTCATGTACTGTGGGCGTTAGTTAGAAATATGGAAGCACTTGACTCCGTCACCAAATCAGTCAAGACGCCCTTAGCAACTTGATTTTAACAAGCTCTCATGTGTCTGCCTCAGGCTAGTGAAAGAGTCAGAGCTATCTCCTGCTCTCTGCCATGTATAAGTGGCTCAGCTCACCTAGGAATATTCCCTTTGGGCTCTTGGGCTCTTGGAGAGTGGAGAAAAGGAATGTTTGTGGGAAGGTAATGAAACTCATTTTCTTCTTATTATTAAAACATTAAATGTCCCAAAGGTCTCCACTAAAAATTATCCTCATTATCAATATATACCTTTACAGGTATTTGCTGGCTCAGCTGAGAACTGCAAGGCCATTAGATGGACACTGTAACTTGATCTTGGATGCATTGGTCTGAGACAGCTCCCCTTGATGTCTATCTTCTCTTATGGACGTGAATAAGGAGTTTAGGAAGATAATCAATAGTGTATAAGTGATTTTAGAAACTTTAAGTAAGAGGAAAAAATACGTTGCAAGAGGCCTTTGGACCTGTGTGGTTTTTCTGATCTCATTTTACGAAGGCCTCATAGCTTGTTAAGGATAATGATCAGATCACAAACCCAGATATCACCATTCACAAAGGGCTGTCTTTTCTGGAGATTCGTGTAACACTGAGAAATTCCATCTCTTGATATTCACATTTTCTTTAACAAAACCGGTGGTGAGTATAAATTCTGGTGAAAAAAAAAAAAAAAGATCCAAGATGACATCCTACCCTCAGGAATCAGGCTGAGGGTTCACAATCACCTTCATATTCATGCAAGTTAGATGAAGGTCAGGGTAACCTTGAAATGTTCACTCCTGACAGAGCATAGTAGTTATCTCACACATAACTTGCCAATTATTTTGGTTAACACATCTGGTCCATGGAAATCTTAATCAAATGTGTTGCCAAAACAGACATGACTGTAGAGGGGCTGAGAACTCTCTAAGCCAGTGGTTCTCAACCTTCCTAACGCTGCGACCCTTTAATACAGTTCCTCATGGTGTGGTGACCCCCAGCCATATAATCATTTTTGTTACTACTTCATAACTGTAATTTTGCTAATGACAAAATTTGTAATTATGAGTAATGTAAAAATCTGTGTTTTCTGGTGGTCTTAGGTGATGGCAGGACCCATAGGTTGAGAACCAATGGTCTAAGCAAACACAAAATGGATTCAGAACAAGCTGGCATTACCTTAGTCATTTCATTCTCTATTTCTATAGTTATTTTCAAATCTTGGATCTTGACTCATCGGGGTTAAGTAAATACTGGGTCCTGAGAATCTTTAGCCAAATAGAGGCAATTCTTTATCTGATGAACTTTAAAAGGCAATTTACTTCATTGGAATGAGGAGTGGGTCAGCTCTCCTGTAGAACTGGTGAGGCAGCACAAAGGGGAATAAGAGGTGGGTCCTCTCTGGTTCTTAAAAAGCATACACTTAGGGGGGGGCAGTAGGTGGATGGTCATGCATAAAACTGGATTGTTATGCAGATGTTCTGAGGTCATTCAGTGGGTGAGACCAATGGTACACACGCAAGCCACGTTCCCGTGGAAACGAAATAAGTTTGAGTTATTGTAACTGTGAGAGTAGTATTACAAGACACAGAAAGGGAACGCATAATCAAACAGGAGTCCTGTTTCGAGAGAGTCTTAGCCTGGGTAGATCTGTGCCAGGTAAAATGGTCCATTTCTGATCCTGGTTTGGAATAGGTTCAGCAAAGGCGTGGTGAACCCAGGTAGACATCTGGTCAACCTTGACGGCAGCAGCTGGTGTGGTCAGGGTAACAGTGGGAGGTCCCTTCCAGGCAGGTGTCAGTCCTTTCTTCTGAAACTTCTTGATGTACCTGGGTCCCTGGGTCAGAATGAGTGATGAGGCAGTGAGGAGGGAACTGGAAGGGCATCTGGAACCCTAGAACGGACTGCAGTCTGGACCTGTTGGAGAGAGGCAGACTTTAGAAGACTGTGAAGTGTCAAGCCTGGGACAAACTGCTGAGGTGCCTACTTAACATATCAAAGAGGACCTGGCCACCAGGTTCTCCCAGCATTCCCCAGTCCCTACCTGTTACAGAGGGTTGGTATACCTTGCCCCTTACCCTGAACTCTCCAGTCCAGGGCTGGGGCTGCCCTTCCTCCAGAGGCTCTTCCCTACATAATCCAGACATTTTGGCTACTTGCCCTCTCTTGTACCTTTGTCCTCCTGGGCTGCTGCACCTGTTTCCCCTCTCTGTCCTCTCCCTTCCCCTCCCCCCACATGGCCCAGCTCAGTCTGCTCATGTCCACTCTGGACTCTCCCAGATGCCCTGTCTCTGTCTCTGGCCATGCTCCTCCACATATCTACCATAAACTTTCTCCCTCACCATACCTAGGAGCAGCCATGTTCTTTCCTTAATTCTTTTTATTTTTATTCAGAGACCAATTGGTAATCTCAATGACAGGGTCCCTTTTCATTTTCATTTTTTAAAATTTTTAAACACTTTCCTTTTTTCTCAGCAGTCAATAGGCCTTAAGCACGGGAGTGTCCTGGAGATCTGGCCAGCTGGCCTGAGATATGTCCAGCAAGTCCCTGCAGTCATGGAGGGCCACCTCAGGGTTGTCATCAGGCATTAATGTTGCAGGGTTGAGACTGCACAGTAACAAAAGATGGGGTTGGTCAAGCTACACAGTGATGTAAGCATTTGACATCCTCCAGCTGTGACTGCTTGAATGAGAATGACCCCCAAGGGCTCATGTATTTGAATGCTTAGTCATCAGTTGTCAGGAGGTGTGGCCTTGTTGGAGGAGGTGTGAGTTACTAAGGGTGGGCTTTGAGGTTTTAAAAGTCTGCACCAGTTTCTCTCTCTCCCTCTCCTTCTTCCCCTCCCCTCCCCTCCCCTTCCTCTCCCCTCCCCCTTCCCCTCCCTCCCTGCCTGCCTTCGGATTAGGATGTAGAATTAAGCTACTGCTCCAGCTCCATGCCGGCCTTTGACACGTGTTCCCCCCATGATGGTCATACACTAACCCTCTGAAACTATAAGCGTCCCCAGTTGCATGTTTCCTTTTATAAGAGTTGCTTTGGTCATGGTGTCTCTTCACAGTAATAGAATAGTGACGGAGACATCGGCCATTTGTCCCTCTTAGGAGGGCTTCCACAACATGGGGAGCGGAGAAAGTCAGGTTCTGGCCCCGGGGTGAGCTCCCCCCTACTTGTACAGTGGTTGCAGCTATGGCATGCAGACAGGATGGCCAACCAGCAGCCACCAGACTCTTGGACAGATATGTTACAGGCCTTGGCTAGGATCTGGAACAAAAAGGTGGACCGGTTTAGTGACATCTGGTAGCGAAAGCTGGGGGTGATAGAGCGCAGAGGTGGATAGAATGGGGTAGGACGCGATAGAGGTGCCTGAGGTGAGGGGGTGGGGTGGGGCTGGGGCTGGGGATGAATCTGGAAGAGGTAGGGGAGGTGAGAATGCGGGAAGACAAGCGTAGACGGGAGCCTAGTAGAGAACCTTGAACTCCAAAGGCAGCAGGACGGGTGGCTGGAGGTTGGTGACAGGCAGCCTACCCGCCCTGGATTCCCTGTTGGTGGTGCAGTCGCCAGCTGCCCGCCTCCGCCTTCCGGCACCTGGTAGTGCCACCGCCACCTGGCCCAGGACCTTCTCAG